AGTAATGCAGTCCATAGTGGTAAAGAAGGAGCTGAGCCGAAAGGCAAAGCTCTCGATTTAACGGTCAATCTACGTTCATACTTTCACGTATAGTCATGAGCTTTGGGTCATGACCGAAAGAACAAGATCTCATATACAAGCAGTGCACACCCTTATGGATGGGGTGAGAAGCTCTGTCACCCAGAGGAGCTCAGAGTAGAGCCACTGTTCCTCCACATCAAGAGAAGTCAGCTGGGGTGGCTGAGCATCTGTTTCCTGTTCCTCGGAGGAGCAATTGTCAACACCAGGGGTCAAACATTAAAGAGATCAACCAAAAGTAAAAATGTACTCACTACATATTCAACCTCAAGCGGTTCCAAACCTTGATGAGTTTCTTTCTTCTTTATAACACAAAAAAAGATATTTTGAAGAAAGCTGAAAACCTGTAACCATCGACTTTCAGAAGAAAAAACAAATGCCATGAAAGTCAATGGTTACATGTTTCCAGCTTTCTTCAAAGTTTTTTATCTTTTCAAAGTATATTTGTGTTCAACAGAAGAAAGAAACTCATGATGGTTTGAAACAAGTAAAAAGTGAGTGAATGATGACAGAATTTTTAGTTTTGTACACTTTTAAATATTTCTGTAAATTACACAGTATTTAATTGTAAAATGAAATGTATTTTACTGTAGGACAGTTTTACAGTATGTTACTGTATTTTAAAGTTGCATTGTGGAAAATATCCTCTTGGCGCCATTAAAATACAGTATTTTTTAAAACAAATGAGCAGGAAACATGACAAATCGAAGGGTTATTTTTTTCTGCTTGGAACCTGAAGGATATATATCTGAACTATCCCTTTAATAAGTTTATTTCCTCTATCTGAAGAATGTTGGAAAACAGCAACCATTTATATCCTTAAGAACAAAAAATATCCGTTTCTAACATTCTTCAAAATATCTTTTTTATGTTCAACAGAAAAAGAAATAAAAAACTCAAACAGGTTTGGAAAAAGTAAAGGATGAGTTAACAATTACATAATTTTAAGTTTTGGGTGAACTATTTCTTAAATGACACTGCATAACTCTTGACAGACACAACAAATCCAGGAAGAACTTTAATAACCCAAGAAAAAAGACCAGTACATGTGAAATGCAATGCTTACGCGTAAACAGGACAGACCACAAGCTGAACAAAACAAGGAGTGTATTTATATATATATACACTATATGAGGGACCAAAACAGTAACAGCAGAACAGAACAATTGTGATTTTTTTTCTCTTTGTTTTACAAATTTTAATCTCATTTTAATCATTTTTATTTGTTTTTTTTTCTTATACTTGTTTCTTTTATTATTGTTTATGTGAAGCACTTTGAATTACTATTGTGTATGAAATGTGCCATATGAATAAAATTGCCTAGCATTGCCTTACTCTTTATGAAATGTGCTATGGGATTTTTAATGACCGCAGAGAGTCAGGACCTCAGTTTTTAATGTCTCATCCGAAAGATGGATAAGATGGATGAGGGTAATTAATTACTAATTACTCTCTCTCATGGTGTTTTAATAATCCCCTGAGATGTTCGTTTATCTTCAGAATACAGATTATGATATATCAGGGGAAATTTGAGAGCTCTCTCATGTGCACACAAAGATATTGTCATAGCTTGATAATATTTCGATTGAACTCCTGTAGCATTCATTCATTCATTCATTCACTCTTTCATTTATTTTCCTGTGGCTTAGTCCTTTTATTTATCAGGGGTCGCCACAGCAGAATGAACCGCCAACTTATCCAGCATATGTTTTATATAATGAATGCCCTAACAGCAACCCAATACTGGGAAACATCCATACACACTAGTTCACACACATAAACTACGGCTAATTTAGTTTATTCAATTCACCTGTATCACGTCTTTGGACTGTGGGGGAAACCAGAGCACCTGGAGGAAACCCACATAAACATAGGGAGAACATGCAAACTCCACACAGAAACGCCAACTGATCCAGCCTGGACTCGAACCAGCGACCTTCTTGCTGTGAAGCGACAGTGTTGGATGATGTTTTGTCTTATTTTTCTGACTGAATCTTGCTGGGGTGTGCTCAGATTTAATCTGAAACATCTTTATTTGTGTTCTGAAAATGAATAAAGGTGTCAGGGTTTTTTAACCAACATGAGTAAATATTAAAATTTTTTGGTTCATTTAAATAAATAAAAAAATGCACATAATTATAAAAATTATGTTGTCAACTAGTTTACTTACTTTTTAAAGTATATTACGCTGTAAAAAATGCTAGGTTCCACAAAGTTCCTTCATGTTGTCCCAACACAAATCGATTAAGTTAACTTAAGCGGGGCACATGGAAACACTTTTTGGTTTTCGCCAAATAAAGAATGGGGTTAGACAAGCCATATTTTTTACACTAACAACACACAAGCCTCTCCTACACAAGAGCACTGAAAGTATGATCGCCAAACCTATGATTTATGTGCAGTATTGCCAAAAGTGCCAGGAGTAAATATTGCTGTCTACTATTGACCCCACCTGCGGAACAACTTGTAACAGACAGAGGGTTAGTTGTAACATATTAAAAAATCCGATTTTACACAATTCATTTAAATGTAGTAATTTGAACAGTTAAATAGTATACTTCCTCAGTACTTAACTTTTTTTTTTTTAATTCTACATAGAACAGCATGTTTATTCATTTATCTGTTGGATAAACACATTTGGATTTATTTGCATTATTGTCTATTATTATACATGGTGATTAAAAAAGAACACAACTTTGAAAATCTGTATTTAATCAATGAAACATGATAAAACCTGGAGTAATTATTCAATGTGAAGCGTACTTAACAAAGTTTTTTTTTTCAATAAAAAACAAATTTATAGATGTTCAATGTGACCTCCTCTAGACACTTGAGTGACATCAACCTGAAAGTTGTGGTATTCGTTTTGAATCACCCTATAAAAAAAAAAATGTTTTATTTAAAAAGTTCCCAACATTCAAAAGTTCCCAAAATGCTAAAAGTATTTTGTTAGCTTGATTGGTGTCTAACAGGGTGTGTTTTTTTTTGTAAGACCCTGTTACCCCGCTGTGTCGTGTCCTCCCCCAAGGCTGGCTAGCAGTGTGTGTTTTTTTGACATCTTTTAACCTAAAAGACGGTAATCACAATATAAGATTTTACATACATACTTTAACAGATTTTAAAAAAAAAGAGTAAAATAAAATTATTTTTTTTATCCAAATTTTCTAAATTTTTAAAATAATTGTCAGGAAGACGTCTGCCGATACTGTGGTGAAAACCTCGGAAGCATGCCATGGTTACCCCTAAGCAAATACCTTACTGTAAAAAAATCTGTTATTTTTTTTTTTTTTCAGAGTGCTGAAAAAAAGTAAAATAACAGTCATTAAATCACAGAAATTTACCATTAAATAACGACTGTTAAATTACAGAAATCTGCCTTAAAACAACGGACATTAAATTACAGAAATTTCCTTAAATTTACATTGCCAGTAAATTTCTTTAATTTAACGTCTGTAATTTTATGGCAAATTTCCGTAATTTAACAGCTGTTATTTAAAAAAAAAATTTTTCCAGCAGATGGGGTGCCAGAAAAAAAAGAAAAATAATGGCTGATAAATTACAGAAATTTACCAATAATGACCGTTAGATTGTAGAAATTTACCATAAAACAAAGGGCGTTAACTTACAGAAATTTACTGATAGATTACCAAAATTGACTGTAAAACAACAAACGTTCAATTACAGAAATTTGCCATAAAAAACGCCCGTTAGATTACAGAAATTTACCATAAAACAACGGATGTTAAATTACAGAAATTTACTGTAAAATAACGGCCGTTAGATTACAGAAATTTACCGTAAAGCAACGGACGTTAAATTACAGAAATTTCTGTAATTTAATGGCCGTAATTTTCCATTTTATTTCCTGTACTTTTTTCACAAAAAAAGTAAAATAACTGTTTTTTTTTTACAAGATCGTGTTACTTTGTGCCCTGGGCTCTCTTAGTTTTTAGAGTTTTTCCAAATTTAACTGAACTGAACAAAAAAACTATTCAAGAACTGTGTTGATTCAACTAATTTATAATAAGTATTGAACAAGCAGCAAAAATAAAATTGAGTGTAAGTCATCACTATTTACAGTGTAGTGTACTTTGAGATAATCTGTATTGTTTAAAGTTTTAAAGAATTAATAAGTGAGTAAAATGAACATTTTAATAATTTAAACAAGATTTGTCTTCTATTAGGAATGCATGCAAACAATCTATATGGGTGTCCGAACTAGAGGACCATTGTCCTGTGAAATTTAGTTTCAACCTTAATTAGACACACCTGGGCTAGCTAATCAAGCTCTCAGTAGGCTTTCTAGAAACATCTTCGTAGGTGTGTTGAGGCAAGTTGGAGCTAAAATCTGAAGGACGCCGGCCTTCCAGGACTGAGTATGGACACCCTTGTTCTATATAAGGACGTTGACGGTTTCAAAAGCTGAAATAAAAATTCCTTAAGTATATCAATGATGTTGTGCACAATTGCCTCAACAGATAGACCTGTGAATGAATTTAACTATGAGTGAATAACTATTAAAAAAATATAAGCAATAAACAATTAGAATGCTGAACTTTTAAACCTTAAGAATGACACCTGAACAACTTTTCTTCCGCCTTATCTCGATCCGTATCTGCCCGAAGGTTGTTTTGGCTGCGTTCAAATAGTTCCCTATGTCAAACAATCGTCTGCTGTTCTCCAAATGACATTCATTAGTTACTGTCTTTTCATCTTTCCCGGCTGAAGGAAAAGACCTCGTAAAGACACGCCTCTACAGTAAACCACATTGCTGACAGTTCAGGTTCTGTTGCTCTAGTCGGTGTGTCATACGAATTCAAGCCACACCTTTCACCACACTCTTTTTTTCCCTGCCCAGGTCAAAAATGTAAGACGGGAAGAGCAGTAAACTGTTTGTTATTCTCATCCAACTTCAATCACATCCTGCGCACACCTGAAATACCAAGGTAGGACTGTTCTTAATATCATATCTGTATGCTTTATATGTGTCTCTGAATTCTCTTCATCCTTTTTCATGGTTAAAATTGTCTCCTTTTTTTATAAAATGAAAGAGATTTTGGGTTAACAGCATGCGATTGTGTCTAAAAATGTTTTTGTTTCTTTAAAATGTATTATACTGATTTGTATCTGTTGTATGAAAATCAGATATTTTGAGTATTTGATTGTCAAGGTGAGGCTGAAGGACACAACATTGCATTTGACAAAATTTCAGATAAAACTTTGACAGTGGGTTTCTTCTCGTATTAAAAGACAAATCTTCATCACCAGTATTAGTACAGTTTCCTGACTGATGTTTTTAACTGATTTGAAAGTTATTTGTTATTTAAGGAGACATAATTGTAATTAGCAAAGATGTTTATAAATAGTCTGAGTTTTTAAAAAAACCTCAAGATTTTATTAATGAATGCGTAATACATATAATTGTGTTTGAGTTAGAAATACATTTTATTTAATTTTCTAAACTGTTGATATGTTTTCCAAGTTTAAAATAAAAAGGTTTCTATTTACAGTTTCTTTTAGGCATAAACAAAAATATTTACATGCGTTCAGACATATTTGTATTTATTTTTGGAAATATTTGTTGACAGTTTAGTCAAAATATTAATGTTTTAAGTTAAGAGTAAAGAAATCAATATTTGGTGGAATGAGCCAGCATTTTCGATCACAACAAATAAAAACATTTTCTATTTTTGAAAAACTAATCGCTCTAAATGACAATTTTTTTATTTGAAATTTGGAAGAACATTTATCATACATTTTTGCTGTGATATGAGTTACAAATACACTTACTAAATTGTCATTCAGTGTAACACTGCACCAGAAACACTTGGTATTTGATCATGCATATTTCGAACAAGGCTGAACAGTGGCACAGTGGGTAGCACGATCACCTCACAGCAAGAAGGTCGCTGATTCGAGCCTCGGCTGGGTCAGTTGGGATTTCTGTGTGGAGTTTGCATGTTCTCCCCGTGTTCATGTGGGTTTCCTTTGGGTGCTCCGGTTTACCCCACAAGTCCAAAGACAGGCACTATAGTGAATATGTGAATGAGTGTGTATGGATGTTTCCCAGTAATGGGTTCCAGCTGAAAGAGCATCGGCTGCGTAAAACATATGTTGGATAAGTTGGTGGTTCATTCCGCTGTGGCGACCCCAGATTAATAAAGGGACTAAGCTGAAAAGAAAATGCATGAATGGATGAATAAATATTTCGAACAATTTGATGGCATATATGGTTTTTGAGATCAGATACAGTTGCAGCTGGAAGTTAACAAGAATGATTTGTATTATTTATTAAATTTGTCATTTATTGTATTTCTTTAACGTCTACCCCCCACCCCAACCCGAAACCCAACTGTAACAGCAATGTAAAAACAGTAGTTGTACAGATAATTATTTATGTTATTTTTTAAATTACCCAATATTTTATTAACACCTACCCCCACCCCAACCCTAAACCCAACCGGCACAGTACTGTATAAAGTGTTACAAAAATAATGTAATATTGATGTGTGTATCCGCAGGTGTCCCCTATCTAGACTTTACTCAAACTGCAGCTCCAAAATAGTTTAAAAAATTTTTATTTTTGAAAATTACACCAGATTTAACTGTAATATCAATTTTATATAAATGTTTACATTTTGGAAAAATTTCTTTTGAAGCCATTAAAATTGTATTTTTTATATGCTGTAAATGAAATTACAGTAAAAAACAAAAACGAGCATGAAACCTGACCAATCATAAAAAATACAGTAAATTACCATTTGTACTATTTTACAGTAAATAGATAAATGGACAATGAATAACAAGTAAATTTCTTTATTGTATGAACACATGTTGCAGTTAAGAAGTCTTTTATCTAAGTTATTTTATAATTTTCATATTTACAAAATACTGTATATTTACAAAAAATATTAACACAGTAATTTTACTGCAAGTTTGATTTACAGTAAAGTCTGCCAGTAGGTTACTGTAAATTCTACAGGAAATTGTTATATAATTGTTAATTGTGTATATTTTACTATGTTCACTTTTTTAATAAATTTTAATAAGTAGGTCAGAATAGGAATGTTTAAAGGAACATAAAAGAACATTACGCTGAAGGAATAATTATTTTGCCCATAATTTTTATTTTCACAAAACTATTTGAATCATCAGAAAGAGACTTTCCATATCGTCACTTTTTTTTTTTATTATAAAGTTCTATCTGACATTTTTGTCAAAATTGAGTTATTGACATATTCTTATTAAATGACAACTTATTTACATCATGGGATGTATTTTTATAAGTTGTTTGCATTTTAAGACTTTTTATTTTTAAAACAAATGTTACACACATACACATAAATATCACATGAGTTTAACATTAAAATAACACGTGGAACACATGTGAATCACGCATGAAGTGCTGTACACTTACATTCAATATGCTGTCTGTGTATATGAAATCATGTTTGTATTTTTAATGCACACACTGCAAAATAGGATGTCTGATCTTCAGCCACTAAAAATGAAAAGCACCAAATGATAGTTGATATCATTATTGCAGTTACAAACTTTCCCACATAAAATCCAGTGAAACCTGTCAGCTGATGTTAGTGCATGTGATGTCTATTGTATGTGAAGCTTCTTTCCAAGCATGAGAATGCTGCCATGGTTACAGGTTGTTGGCAGGTGTTTAAACAGGGTGTGTCTTTACAGGCATCAGGACAGACTAGTTTTGGGTGTAACCAGGAGAGTTAAAGGGCAGTGCAAAATCAAACATCACCGTGGGATAGACAAATGTATTATTAGAATGGAATGTATTAACCGTGATTTGTAAAATCATAGTGTTTTAGCTATTGGCACCTTGTGGATAGTCTAGTATGACACACTAAACATAATAATGTGCATTCCATTTTACAGCGTAAACCATGTCTTTCACCGGAAAATCAAACAGCCAATCAGGTGAGAAAATGACTAAATATATTGTTCTCAAAATAAAAAAATACAGTTGAAGTCAAAAGTGTACATATACCTTACAGAATCTACAAAATGTTGACTATTATTATTATTATTATAGATTTTTTTATATAGTAATAAACTGAATAGGATATATTAAAGAAGAGACATTATACGAGACAAAATGATAGTTGTAAAAAGAAAATTCAGATGATACTCACTCCAGAAAGTAACGAGATGCATTTAGAGCTTATAGCGTGTGACAACCTTTTGTAAATTTTGTCTTCTGGAAAACATGTATGTATCTTTTGTAGCTTCTGAAAGGCAGTACTTAATTAAAAAATAAGTATATAAAAACAGAAATATAAAATATATACATTTTAATATCAGATAAATAAACATCTTATAGGGGTCAGTAATACATCTTAAATCATGCCTCTTTAGTTTTTTGTTTCTCACTCAAAAACTTATTTTTTTCTGTTTGATGACACTAAAATGAGCTGAAACAACACAATCTGTAAGTTTTTTTTGGGACAACTTAATTGTTTTAAGTTCAATCCAATTATGCTCAATTTAATTGGTTAAAACAATTAAATGAACTTAATTGATTTTTGTGGAATTATGGCGACCCATCCTTTTTTACAGTATTGTTTAGTTTTTATCTTCAAAACAAAAAGCTAAATAATGCAGAAAAATGCTAAAGTTTCACAAATCAATATGTAGAAAATCCTGGACGAGCCTCCAAGTTCATGTTACAAGTCAAAGTCAAAATTTATGGACAACAAAACATAAATATGGTTCACAGAGTCTAATGGTCATGAATGATGAAACTTTAATACAAATAAGAATAAATTCAACAAAAGACATGACGACCCCTCCAAAGGAAAAAAAGAAAGCCTCACACTTTCAATCTTGAATGTTAAAAAGTTCTGTCATGCTCCCAAAAAACAAAAAGAGTTGAGTCTCATACAACTAAAAAAAATACTGAACCTAAACTACAAAAGTGTTGGATTTTTTTAAATTAACTAAACAAAAATTAATGTAAGGTGTGGTGTTACAAACATCTGGGAACCGAAGGCGAGAGAGTGTGGCCCCTTGCTATTGGGGTGGTATTTATACAAGATGGCTAACCTTAATCAACAAAAGCTATGGAATATCATCACATTTTGGAACATCACATGAAAATACTCAATGGAAATGACAAGATGTGCATACATTTTAAATATGTACATAAAAAACTGAGTAGGATAATCTTCTATATAATATATCTTGCTATAAGTTAAATAAACATCTTATTCAAGTCAGTAAATCCTAAATGATCCCTCTTTAGTTTTTTGTTTTTCACTCAAAATATTATTTTTGCTGCTTCAAACAAAAATGAGTTGAGAAAACACAATTCTTGATTTTTTTTGGGACAAATTAATTGTTTTATGTCCTATCCACTTAAATTTATTAAAACATTTAAGTTAACTGGTTTGTTGAGACAGCATTTTTTACAGTATTGTTAAGTTTTTATTTTCTAAACAAAAAGCTAAATGATACAGCAAAAATTGAAAAGTTTCACAAATCAATATGTAGAATATCCCGGACAAGCCCCCAAGTTCAAGTCAAAAGTCAAAATTTATGCACAATATAACATAAATAAGGTTCACAGAGTAGTTATGTCACGAATGATAATTCTTTAAAACAAATAAGAAAAATTTCAACAAAAGACATGATAACCCCCCCCCCCCCCCCCCCCCAAACAACAAAAAGCCTATGATGAAGACACATTTACCAAATATATCCCAGCATGCGCATTAAACAAAAGTTATACTATTTCATTTTAACAGTATTAAAAATAAGCGTGAACTTTAATGAAAAAACCAGTGGACAGACCACTTTGTAATACATCTAAAATGTTGTTTTGGTCAATCTAAAATCCCTTGACCAAAATCCATCATCAAAGTGGTTTAGTATTAGTACCTTACAGAAACAAATGTGCTTCCAAAGAGCGGTCCCATGCAGGCCTTCAAAAGCCACAGCACATTAATTGCAAGTAATTTATTAAAAAAATAAATAAAAGAGCTACAAAAATAAAACCCAGATGCTTCTCCTACTACTACTACAAAAAAACATTGTACTTTTTAATATTTGGCACCAGGGAGTGAAGATTTTTTTGTCTTTTAAAAAAAAAAAAAATTTTTTATGCAAAATTCATATCTAATTGTTTTGCATATCTAATTAGCATATTTGGATGGAAACATAGCTACAGACACATCCAAAGACCATCATCAAAGCTCCAACTACAATAGCAAAACAAACAACAACAACAAAAGTGAACACACAAAAAAATCACATTTTGTAGATTTTGCAAGGTGTAAGTACATCCATAATCAAGTTATTAATATTATTTTTGATCAAAACAGGCACAACTTCAAGCACAGGATCCATTAATCCAGTGAATGAAAGCAAAAAGAAAACATCCCTGCTAAAAGACAATAGCTGGATCAAGTCAAATGTGAACGAAGACCAGAAAGTCGAGTAAGTTTTAGCAAATTCATTATCCAGACAGAACATCTTGTTTAACATATCACCTCTGTAATAGACTTATACTGTAAATATTTCAAATGACGTATATGTCTCTGGCAGACTAAACCAGTGATTAACAGAACTTGTGTTTCTCATTTCTCAACAGACAAGAGACGAACTTTGGGAAAACTGTTCTGAGCCGTTACAAGTCCAATGAAAGCCTCACAAGGTTTTAAATCTTATTTAAATGCCATAGTTGTTGATCTCACATTGCCACTTTATACTGAATATGACATTATGTTCTTCTTTTAATTTTTTTTAACAAAGCCCTCAAGATAAAACTAGCAAAACTGAGACTAAAACCACTACTGTCACTACTTCACCTGGCTCTTCTGTTCAAGCTCTCAGTAAAAGGTAACACATTCAGCACTTTCACACAGTGAAAATGTTAAGTTATGTCATATACATATCTTCAGCTTAATAATAACAACATGCAAAGAACGCAACACTCTGGTTTACAAATTTGATTCAAATAACACATTATATAACTTCTCTCTAGCAGCCTTTTTCTCATAAGAAAACTTATTTAAGTGAGATATAAGCTGGAAATATGAGATATACAAGGTTGAAATTATGATATTAGAGGATATAACTGTTACATGAAAAGTCAATGATGTCAAATGTTTAGTTTAAAAAAATCACAAATATCAAACAAAATGTCAGAACACATACAAGTTATTATTATGACACAATGGAAATCATAACAAAACTGGAAATGAAAAGGATAAACTGAAATGCAAAGTCATTTAAAGCTTAAATTATCACAAATCATATGGCATAAATTCTAAATAATTAGTTCAGATCAAGATATAAGGTGTTATTTGTGTGTGTGTGTGTGGGGGGGGGGGTATAATTATTTTATTTATGAACAGATCAAAAAGCATCATGCAGCTATTTTTCAGTGATTTTGATATTTTGTAAGAATTGTTTTTCAACTTTACGTTTTTAACACTGCGTTTTTATGAAGAGGCTATTTACATAGAGCCATACACTACCTGAAAAAAAGTCTTGTCGCCTATCCAAGTTTTAGAAATAACAAATAATAACTTGACTTCTAGTTGATCATTTGGTATCAGAAGTGGCTTATATGAAAGGCAAAGGCCTCTAGATTACATTTATTTTACCAAATGAAATATGACCATGCCTTGATTTTTAATTATTTAATTAGCACAGTAAAGTCTGACTTTGCTTAGACAAAAGTCTGTCACTATATCTTACAAAAGTACAATCTGATTGCATAGCTTTTATTGTGCTCCTCGCCAAACAACTAATATTGCTTAGGTGGAAGGATCAGAAACCTCCAACCCCAACACAGTGGATCCGTGATGTCCTCATCTTTGTAAAGTTGAAAAAATTAGACTGTCTAGAGGTTCATCTAACCAGTTTAAGAAAATGTGGGACCCATTTAGGAAACATACCCAATAACATGTTTTATTTTCAACCACAAACCAAGTCCTTGTTCCAACAAATTCATTTTTTTCATTTCTAAGTGCAAAGTAGAGTGTATTGTGTGCTTCAGATTGTACAATTGTAGTTTTTGTTGAGCCACATTATTATTTACCTTTTTATTTGTTAGTATGTTTTTTTATTTTTTATTTTGTTTGCTTGTTTTTTTTCATATTGTTTGTGATTAAGTTGATGCTACCTATATACATTTTTTAATATAATTTAGTTTTTTCTTCTTTTTTTTTACTGTAATTTGCCATAAAAGGTTATTATTATTATTTTTTTAGTCTGTCACTTAACAGAAAATATGTACAGTATAGAATATAAAGCCATAGTGCAGTGGAAAAAGAATGAATATTGTGTATGACTCCCATGAGCTTGGAGGACTGCGTCCATACATCTCTGCAATGACTCAAATAACTTATTAATAAAGTCATCTGGAATGGCAAAGAAAGCGTCCTTACAGGACTCCCGGAGTTCATCAGTATTCTTTGGATTCATCGTCAATGCCCCCTCCTCCATCCTAGCCCAGACATGCTCAATAATGTTCATGTCTAGTGACTGGACTAGCCAATCCTGGATCACCTTGACCTTCTTTGCTTTCAGGAACTTTGATGTGGAGGCTGAAGTATGAGAAGGAGCGCTATCCTGCTGAAGAATTTGCCCTCTCCTGTGGTTTGCAATGCAATGAGCACCACAAATGTCTTGATACCTTAGGTTGTTGATGTTGCAATCTATCTCGCACACGCCCCCACACTGAATGTAACCACAAACCATGATTTTTCCTTCACCAAACTTGACTGATTTTGGTGAGAATCTTGGGTCCATGTGAGTTCCAATAGGTCTTCTGCAGTATTTCATTTGAGCCCTTAATAACATCTCTAGGGGCGCCAAAACTGCGTAGAACCCATATAATTGCCATAACAGTCTTTTAACAGATTTTCGATACAAGGATCATCTGCAGCATGTCGCAACTCTTTCACCCATATCTCTGCAAATCTTTGCACAGGGAATGAGGCAACCTCTGAGCCATTTACTGAATTGAACAGCAGGCTGTTCAGCATTAAGACATTTGTTCTGTTTCATCCATCAGTGAGAATGGTTCATTGCACTGAAACCTCATTCACACTCAGCTTTAAAAATCATAAGTGTAGAGACAGTAATGAGCACTTTGCGCAGATTCTTTAAATGTTATTCGGTCGTAATTGTTTTTCAAGTGACCATAACAGACCTTCAATCAAACATACAAACCTCTCAGTCATTGACTATTAGAATTAGCTAAAGGAAAGGGAGTGAATGTTTTTTGTAATCAATTTGTAAAAACATCTTAAGGCAGGGCTGATAATATTGAACTTAATTTTTTTTTTTATTGGTTGTTTATATCACGTTTATGATTTAATTGTGAGACGTGGCTTCTGATATGGTGCTATGGTCTTATATGATTGTTTTCCTTTTGTAGATTTGGTGGGAGCCAAGACAAGCTGAATGAAACCAGGTAAAACAAACGCTTATCACTGCAGCATCTCATCCATCCAGAAGTTGTAAATCAGACAGTTGTAAATCTATGAACTAGTACAATATGTTTAACACACTAATACAATACAATAATCTGACAAACAACATGATTGTACATTTAAAGAGATAGTTCAGACAAAAATGAATTATTTCCTGCCTCTTTTTTGCTGAACACAAAAGCAGATACCTTAAAGAATGATAATAGCTGGCACCCATTGACTTTTACAGTTGGAAAAAAATACTATTAAAGTCAATGGGTGCCAGCAATAAACATTTTTTTTCTATTTATGTTCTATTGTGTTCATCAGAAGAAAGACAAGTAATAAGTGTGAGTGATTGATAATTTTCATCTTTGGGTGAACTATTAAACTAGTCACTACTGTTCGGAAGGGTGATGAGAATTCAACAATGATGGGAATTTAAAACATTTTAAGAGCTCTTTTGTCTTTCCAACCCAACCCTACAGAACCCCATTAAATAAACCATCCGTGAAATCGCTGCCCAGGACAAGGTAATGCTTCGAAAGTCTCCGAGACACACCCGTTTAAATGTCAGATGAATGATAACTGGCTTCTTACAAAAATAATGATCACTCTTTCAGCACTACCAGCACGACAACAACAGTCAAAAATGGTACAAAGACAACTGAGACGACTGTGACCACTACCAAGTAAGATACTGAGCGAATATGTTATATGTGTTGTGCTATTCAGTTTACAGTCAGAGGAAATGTAAAGAATGACAAGATCAATCCAAACAGTTTCTGTTATTCTAAAGCAGTTTTTGCTATTTTAACTGTTTTTTTAATCATTTTTCCACTAGACAGGATGTGGTGAAATCATCTACCAAACTCGAGACAGTCAATGATAGAAACCCGGCAGATTCAAGTACCAGGAGAACAGGGTAAATCAGTTCACTCTAACAAGCATTTGATCATAGATTTTAATTGAGCTCTACACTTAAAGGTGTGTGTTGTTGCATTATAATGAATATTAAATGCATAGTTCACCCAAAAGTAATAACACCTCACCATTTTCTCACCCTCAAGTAGTCACAAACATTTACAAGTTTATTTTGTGTTGTTGTTGTTGAACACAAAATAAGATATTTTGAGGAATGTTTAGAAGTGGTAACCACTGATATCCATAGTGGGGGAAAAAAAACACTGTGGAAGTCAATGGTTACATATTTCCAAGGTTTTTAAAATATCTTCAAAGAAAGAAACTCGGTAACACTTTATTTTGATGGTCCATTTGAGTATTAGTAGACTGTCTGCTTAATATCTGTTGATACTGCTCCTTCAACAGATATGTAACTGATAATAAGAAACTTTGCAAGTATATGTCAACTTACACTATCCCGACCCCAACGTAACAGTCTACTTAATCTAATGAAAATTAGCTGGCAAGTAGATGCAATTTAACCTTAATTCAACAAACAGACCATCAAAATAAAGTGTGACTAGAAACTCAAACATGTTTGTGACAAGTGAAGTGTGGGTAAAGGATGACAGATTTTTAAAATTATCTTCTTTAAAGCAATTTAATTGAAATTGGCACTTTTAAAAACGCATTTTATACATTTTAAGTGGCTGTGTGACAAACGTAGATACACTATTCAAAACTAAATGGCCTTTATGTAGAATTTATAAACTGTTATTAGTGATACCAGTGGCTGTTAAGTGAAATGCAGGCAGCAACCTGTGAGAGATCAAACATGGCGGCAAAAGTCTATAAAGGTCAATAAATTTAGATCTGGTTTTCAAAATCTCAAGTTTAAATTGGGTACTACCAAAGAAAGAGAAAACAAAGAAATGAGTGCCACCTTGAACCTGAGGTTGCAGTATTGTGACTGCTAAAGAGTAAAACTTTGTATTATTGCATTGCATTAGGATTTGTTTTATTTGCGTCTATAACGCATGACAAGGACTCCCATACATCAAACTTGCCTGATGTGGATTTCCTAACAGTAAACTGACCGTTTTCTAATGCAAGCTTTCAAGTACAGGGCATCTTCAGTTTGCTCTGCCATGTTGGTAAAGCATGTTCAGTAATCTGTGTTAGGAACTTTTCATATAGTATTGAGGGTCTCTGTATGTCTCATTGCACATGTTATCTGTTCCTAAAGTGACTACAAAACAACAAGACAAGAGGACATCACTGTGAAGTCATCAAAGGACACTGTTGATGGGTGAGTGTTAAAGCAGAAGCTCATAATTCAATTATTGTTAGTTGCATTTGTACTTTTTTTAATGTGTATTTAAAAAAATAAACCTTTAATTCTTTTTGTGTAGACCGTCTTCACCTGTCAAGACCACTACAAGGTAGAGTAAGCATAGCCTTTTTTTAAATATCTGACTGTGATTTCTTTGACTTTCTAAACATCTTAATGTTTTGAATTCAAGCATCAAAAGCTACACCAAGGAGGACGTTTTACCAGCTAAAACAACACCATATTCTGTCCAATCCACAAAGAGGTGAGAACCTGACAGAGCATGCTTTGCTTTCAGTTACTTTATGACAAAAAGGGTCACTGAATGTTTTTCCACAGCTCTGAGAATCTCACACCAACATCATCAATCATGACAACTAACACAAAACCTGAAATCAGGTAAGTGGTATCTAAATGACTCAATCAATAACGTATTTTAATCAGAATTTAAACCTCAGCCTTCTACATGATTCTGTAGTTCCACTGCTGATCTGAATCTGAACTGAAAATCTAGTATTTATTGCTAAATGAACTTGTTTGTTCCTAAAGTGACTCCAAGACTGAAGTGGTTACTGTAAAGTCATCAAAGACTATCATTGATACGTAAGTGCCTCATCTGATGGAGAGAACATGCTAAATACAAAGAAATCAAACGTGTCTTATCATATATTCTTCCATTAGAATTAGTCTTTAAGTAGTATGCATTTGTTGTTTACTTTAAATCTCAAAAATATACAATGAATAAAACAACCTACTGTATGTGGTTGAATGGTCGCTCACAGCAGGAAGGTCCCTGGTTTGAGTCCTGGCTGAGCCAGGATGTCTTTTTGTTGGCATGTTCTCCTCATGATCGTGTTAGTTTGCTCCATGTGTTAGGGTTTTACACACAGTCCAAGACATGTGATATAGGTGAATTGGATAACTAAATTGGCTGTAGTGTGCAAGTGCATGTTTGTGTTTTATTTGCATGCTAGTGCAAAGGGATGTGTCTTTAGTAGATTTAGAAGGAAAGAGTGTGTCTGCCTCCCAAACTGTGTTAGAAAAACTGTTCCACAGTTTAGGCACAAGTTATGAAATAAATATTTTCATTTTTTTTTTTTTGCAAGGGACAAAAAAAATCCCTTTATAGTACACAATTTCACATAAAACTACAGAAAATACACAATGGCTGTATATTTTAGTTTCACACTCATTAACATTTGTGAATTTACAGTACAAATAGTGACAATTGGTGACATCGCAATAAAAGTCTATATAAATGTATTTTGTGTGTGTGTGTGTGAAATAAGGGAATGTGCCCCATGGTATATATGAAGTGTCTCCATAACAGTTCTTAGTTTGGCAAGCCCTGTTAAAGAAGGGAATAAGCCAAGGGAAAGTAAGTGAATGAGGGAGAAAAAGACACATGAGTGTACTTAATAAAATATGGTTAACTTTTTATACTATAATAAATGCTGGTGTCACACGGGAGACCCTGACAAGGGAAATGTGGATTCAAATGCAGGTTTATTAAACAGAGAATGGTCAGACAGGCAATGTCATAATCAGGAGCAAATGGTTGTATACAGGGAATCCATAGTCGTAGTCGAATACAGGCAGGCAGCAGGCAACATAAAAAAACAAATAAACAAGGCTAAGGTCAAAAACACTGCAGAACAAGGCAAGGAAAACCCGCCATAATGTTAATTTGACAGATGAAGAAGACTCAGCCATGAGTGTGTGTGTGTGTGTGTGGTTTAAAAAGTCCATTTAATTGTCTTTGACAATCCTCCGGCTGTGTGTTTGCAATCAGCCAGGATCAGGAACCGGTGTGAGTGTGTGTGGTGCATGACTGGATCTGTAATCCATAAACTGGTGGATTTGTAATCTGTAGCGATCTGCAACTACAAGAGATCATAACAGATAGGTTTCATACAATATCTTTTTTTGTTGGGACAATATAAGGAATTAAGCTATTTTAGTCATTTATTTATTTATTTATTATTATTTTTTTTTACAAATTTAAGTGGATTGGACATAAAACAATTAAGTTGCCCCCCAACCCTCCCCAAAAATAAATATCATTTTATTAAAAAATTATTTTAAATAAATAGTTTGAACAAGCAGAGAAGATTTTTAGGTGACCAACTGTATAGTTTCATACAGTAACTGTTTTATAAAATGTTTAATAACACACTTAAATATGCTAAAAATGTGATTTTTTTATTTCATATACTGTCATGTAAACACTCAAAATATGCTATGTAAATTCTGTGTAATCTGATATATTGTCATAATTTCTGTCTTTGTGTATTAACACTGAACCTACTATTCTTGTTGTTTAGACCAGCTTCACCTGTAAAGACCACCACAAGGTATAGTAGTTCTTGATTACAGATTCATGACCAACTTGAAATAATCAAACTACTCTATTAACCTTTATTAATTGCAACTTTAGCATCAAGACTTATACCAAGGAGGATGTTACATCCACAAACACAAAGAGGTGAGAACCTTAAAGAAAACTCCATGCATCCAATTTCAGTCCAACTAAACAAGACTTTAGGAAGAGTGTTCGTTGTTAAAAATTACGCTTGTTGTTTGTTCCTAAAGTGACTCCAAGATGAGCCCTAAGTCATGACCCACATATTTACTTGTTTTTTAAACATCAATCCTATCTTAAAATTAAATCCACATCTAATTCTTAACCCTAAACTTTACTACACATGATGTGGTTAGAAAAAAAAAAATCTCATGTTAAAATTGATGACGACGCTTGAAGTTTCTATTTCAGAAATTACTATTTCTGTGATGCAGTGGTGGAAGAGTCTGGAAAAATCATACTCAAGTAAAAGTACCATTACTTGCCTGAAAATGTAGAGCAAATAAAGTAAAAGTATCTGTTGTAAATATTACTCAAAGTTTGAGTAAAAAGTAGCTTTTTAAAAGTACTCAAGAGTAGTGAGTATTGCACTTTGAAAAGTCGATGCATTAACATTTATGGACGTGTGTAAACGTAACATTCTGTAGTGCATTGAATTATTGCCCAGCAGGCACACAACATCGTAAGACGTTAATATTAGGTTAGATTTAGCTTTTCAGGTGACCAAAATTCAATGTCTAGTAGGGTTGGGCATCTAAGCTATAATGCCGATCCGATACGCATCTCGATACAAAGAATACGATCCGATATATTAGCGATACATTTGTGACATATTGCGATGCAACACGATACGATTCACACCCATATCACGATACGATGCGATATTTCAGCACTAACTAATTAGATCAAGTTTATGAGATGATGTGAAAGAGGATGCTGTGCCATTGAATGAGTTTGATTATTTATTAACCAAGCAAAACCAAGACTTTTTTACAAACTGGCTCTTCTCTCAGAGCCAGAGTGTCAGTTTACAGTAGAGGGCCATTTTAGAACATATAGCACATATTATTTAAGTATTTTCAAGATAAACAGAATGTATAAGTGCAATATATATTAAATATATATATATATATATATATATATTTGCACTCTTTCAACATAAATAAATTTAGCATTGCACAACAAAAATTGTGATTTAACTTTTCAACTATGAAAACAAGTTTTACAAAGATATATTTTGCCACTGATTATTCAAAACTTAAGGTCGTGAACTAGCAGTGTTATGCTGCGTTGAAACATCACTGTCACTGTAAACAACAGGCTAATAAAAATATAACAAACCAGCAATCTTCTTGCTGTGAGGTGGTCAAACTACCCACTGTGCCACCGTGACACCCAATTATTTTTATCATTATTATTATTAATATTATTATTATTATAATTAAATAAAAATTAACAGGAGGAGGTGTTTAAAACCTTCGTTCTCCGTGACACTAGGCTGAATATCTTTGCAGATGAACAATGCAATAACATCCGTTATTGGCGTAGAGCGAGCAGAACTGTTGCGCATGGAAAAAAAAAAACTCTCAATGCTTTTCTCACCACTTTTGGAGCTGGTTGAAGCAGTGCGAAAGCCGGGGATGCAGAAACATTAGAAGACGCTTTCACAACAACACCGAGGCGCCGCTTCAAGTGAGATATCAGATTAGTCGTACTGCCCGCGTATTTTACAGATGCGCGGCACATTTTGCAAATTGCATCTGTCCTGTCATGTCGTCCATCCTTAAATCCATAATTTTGCTTGCCATACTTTAGATTTAAAACTCAGTGGGGAATAAAATGTTTGTTTTGCTTCTCGCGCTTTCTGAGGGCGCTCCACTAGCTTCATCCGCACACCTGATACACTGAGTTGTAGTGTGTGCACATCCGCAAATCCGTTGCTAAGGCTTACTTTATGTAGGTCGATTAAATTATGCGCCAAAAGCAGGTTGACAACACTTGTTAATAAATAAAAAATACATTCTATATTAAAAATATAAGCTGTATCTCGGAAAAATCGATGCATCTCGCAAAAACCGATGCATCTCGATTTGCTTCCAAAATTTCATTCATCCTCTGCTGCTCTACCGATGCACTCGCATCGTGCACGCGCATGACCGCGTATCGATACATATCGGTTAATCTTCCCATCCCTAATGTCTAGACATCGTCTAAGGACAACATTATTTTGATGTTCAATAACAACATCAAATGACGATATTTGGATCTATTTCAGATTGTCTGAAAGACTGAAACGTCATACCAACGTCATATTGTTTTTAAATACTGACATTTATTCATCAGGTATGGCAACCAAAATCCAATGTCTGATAGACGTCATAGTGGTAACGCACACACAACATCAAGCTGTAAAATCATTAGACGTTGATATTTGGTTGGTTTTAGGTTGGACATTGACGTTGGCCTGATGTTGAGTTCTGAGGCTAAACTGATTTTCGTTTCCAAACAAAATGCAACACACCCATGACGTCAGGGTACTATGTCAATCTGACGTCATGTTGTTGATGTCTCGTGCCTGCTGGGTGTTTAAGGCCATTTTGGTCATCATACATTAAACATCCGTCATCTTCTCATCAGTGACATGCATCTAAACATGGTCTCTGGGTCATTGTGTGTAAAGATTTTGGACATCCTCTTGGACACTTTTAATGCTTCCAAACAGTTTGCTGCAATTATAAAACGCCCTTTCCTTGAGGTAGTTCATTATGATGTGATTTACCTTCTATGTGCGATTTGATTGGACAGGACTGACTTTTCTAATCCCCATAGACAGTAAATAATAAAGTAGTGTGACTGCAGGTTGTAGAGTGGAGTAAAAGTACCGATATACTGCACTAAAAAGTACTCAAGGGAGTACACATTTTTAAAACGACTTAGTAAATTACAATTCCTGAGAAAAACTATTTAATTACAGTAATTTGAGTATTTGTAATTAGTTACTTTACACCACTGCTGTGATGTCACGGCTGAACAACAGTGAAAACTACTATGACAATGATAACCTCAGGTCCTGATTATGTGCTGTATGTATACTGTAACACACATACATCACTGAGACATCTATTTAATTTTTGTGTTTACCAAAAATTTTTATCAGAGTGATTGTTCGTCTGCAAAACAATTATTAGAACAGATGTCAATTTTCAGATGCTAAATAGATGTTTATGAAATCTTTAAAATGTTTAAATTTATAATGTTTATTCAGCAGACATTATATAGATCCGTGTTTCTCAAGGGTCGCGGGAACATTTTCAGTGGGTCTTGGAGTGTGTGGTCAAAAAACAACAAAAGTTATTTTTTTTTCTTATTTTGCTTATACTAGACTTTTATTTTGAAATGTGTGCGCGACAACCCTACAATTTGACATGTGAAATTTCATTTATTATGGCAATAAATATGTCAAAGGGCAAGTACGACCCCGAATATGTAAAGACCTAAAGCCTCAGTGTCGTATGTAGTGAGGTGCACTCTTAAAGAGCATGAAACCTTCTAAATTAAAACGACATTTAGAAACTAGACAAATATTTTTATTAACAGTTCAGTTTAGTTCATGGTAACTGAACCTTTCCTTACCCTAACCACTGTTTCCAGTATTTGTGGTTTTTACTTTATAATTTTTCTATAATTTGATACATTTTGTTAAACAACAGCAATAAAATATTGTTTATTTGTGAGTCTTGGTGAATTTCTTATGATTTATCTGTCACTACTTGTTCATGTTAACAAATAAATACAAATTAATTATAATTGCTAAAATTGTATTATAGCTCCTAAAAATTTGGGTCGCGGGTTGATGACCATGTAAAAATGTGAGTCTATTGGCCAAACCAGTTGAGAACCCCTGATAATGATGTTTATTAGATCTTTGAACACAGCAGATATATCTTTAAAATACATATTGCATGATCAGAAAGACCGAGAAAAGGGATTCAGGAGAGTTATTACAACCTAACAAACACCTCCTTCTAACCATTTCAATTTGTTGTCTTAGCGCTGTCAAAACTGCCATTTGAAGGGGCATGGTTAAGTATGTTAACTACTCCTATACCTCAAATAATAATATGAGAATTTAACAAACAAGAAGTGCATTTTCAGATTTCAATTTTAGATTACAAGGGAAAACAAATTATTTTTTCTTAATGACATACACAGAAGAATTGTTCACCAAACTAGCAATGTGAGCTTACAAAATCAGTATGGTTAGTTCTGAGTACATGTGTACTTTAGTATACAATAAACAGATCAGCTCTGAATGGATGATTGGAATGTTGTTCCAGGAACAACATGTTAATATAGAAAAGTGACACTTGGTACAGTGTAAGTAAGTTACACGTAAGTAAGTTTTTTTGCTTTGTTTTTCTGCATTTGTATATTAAAATTCAACCTATCATTCTTTTTGTTTAGGCCAACTTCACCTGTCAAGACCACCACTAGGTACAGTTACAGCTAACAAATCCTGATAAAAATAATATGTCAACAGATTCCTGGTCTATAAAAAGTTGTCTACTCTTAGAACATTTAAACTATTTTAATTACAGCATCAAAACCTTCACCAAGGAGGATGTTTCACCAGCTAAATCAACAACAACAACAACCTACACCACAAAGAGGTGGGAGCTTGAAGTCATTTCACACTTTCAGTATTTACAATATAATTAAAGGAATAGCTCACGAAAAAAGGAAAATTCTGTCACCATTTATTCATTCTCATTACTCATGAACTTGAACCTTGAGACTAAAATGTTGATCCCTATATATTTTTGTGTGTCTAAAGTGACTACAAGACTGAAGTGGCTACTGTGAAGTCATCAAAGGACATCATTGATATGTGAGTATCATAAATCACTGCTTCACAACTGATGACTCATGAATTGAAAATTGGGGTAAATGTTAATATGGGACATTATTATGCATAGATATATACACTAGATCTCGCATAGGGTCCCTGAGCATGTGTCAATAGCGCCGCCACATTAGTACAGTGCTCCCAGGACAAATGTCATTCAACCACACTAGTCAAGACAGTGTTATTACATGAAGATGCGGGACTTTAGAGCTGTCTACGGGTGTAGTAACGAGCAAACAAAGAAAACAAAGCACAAAGGCAGAACATTTCATAGGTAAGATTAAGTTTTTTTCTGTTTTTGTATGTTCTGAACTTTTGTGCTAAACAGGTAACGTTATTGATGATAACAGTCACTTACTGCGTTCACCATACGGCAAAGCAGCTCCAACTCGCACTGAACACTCAGCTTATGCTAGTTTTGTTGAATAAAATCAGCAAACAATGCAAAAGAAATATGACAACGAGATGCTGCGGTGCCAGAAACTTGTATTATTGTCAGCTAACGTTAGTGAAAGAGTCGTTCGGGGGATTCAATCACAAACGAATTGCTCCCTCCGTCAGTATGAGAAGTGAAAGCAGGAGAAGAGGAGGTGTGTTTCAGGACACGGATTAGATCAAATTTAACAGGGAGGGTGGATAGTACATTTCTGTACACACAAACACAAGCTTTTTGTCAGAAATCAATGTAGAAAAGTGATGTAAAATTATAATTTTCGTAATTAGAAAAAAAATTACATCCTAACATCCAGGAAAACTCCCGATCATAGATATATGTGTATATGTGTATATCTCTGGCTTTGGATGGCCACAGTCCTTCACTGTACCTTGGTCTCGCATTCATTTCAAAGGAGCGCTACCCTGTAGCAAGATGGCGGCGCTATTGACGCATTCCGTCCAATAGACAACAATAGGCCAGGCGACATCTAATGTATATATCTATGATTAATATGCATGGCCAAGGCTGCATTTGATTGGCCACATTTCATACTGAAGAATATAATTCATATTATAACAATGACATTTGCCCCCTTATTTCTAAGTTTATCTAAGCTTATATAAACATATATGTCCTTTTTGAAAACAGTCACTTCTTTACATTGTTTTCTATAAGTTATTTGATGCACATATTCAACATAGGCTCATTCTGAAAACGTACATTGTGTTTAAAAGACAAAAGAAGATACTTTAAAGAATGTTTGAATCCAGGAACCACTAACTTCCATAGTAGGAAATACAAATACTGTGGAAGTTAATGGTTATAGGTTTCCAACGTTCTTCAATGTATGCTCTTTGTGTAAATAACAGGGGAAAAAACAGACTTTTTATTTAATACATACAGTTGAAGTCATAATTATTAGACGCCTTTGATTTTTAAATATTTCCTAAATGGTGTTTAACAGAGCAAGGAAATTTTCACAGTATGTCTGATAATATTTTTTCTTCTGGAAAAAGTCTTATTTGTTTTATTTTGGCCAGAATAAAAGTTTAAACTTTTAAATTTTATTTTATTTTTTTACTATTTTAAATTTATTACACCCTTTAAACTGTATATTTTTTAATAGTCTACAAAACAAACCATCATCATGAAATAACTTGCCTAATTACCCTAACCTACCTAGTTAACCGAATTAACCCAGTTAAACCTTTAAATGTCACTTTAAGAAGTATAGAAGTGTCCTGAAAAATATCTAGTCAAATATTGTTTACTGTCATCAAGGCAAAGATAAAATAAATCAGTTTATTAACTCAGAAATGAGTTATTAAAATGTTTAAAAATGTGTTTAAATTTTTATTTTCCATTAAACAGAAATAGGGGGAAAAATAAACAGGAGAGCTAAAAGTGTAATGACACATTTTAAATAATGAGGATTTAATTTACTTAAAAAAAAAAAAAAAAAAATTGATAGTTTTCTAGTACTGGGTTGTGGCTGGAAGGGTATACTGCATAAAACATATGCCAGAGTAGTTGGCGGTTCATTCCGCAGTAGTGACCCTTGATAAATCTGACTAAACTGAAGGAAAACGAATGAGTGAATGAGTAATGTACAGTAACTTTAAATGTAAATCCAAATTAAATTACAATCCAGTATGTACTGTATGTGCTGTAGTATTTGTATGTTTTAGCACACTCTCAGAAATAAAGGTACAGGAGCTGTCACTGGGGCAGTACGTTTTCAAAATATACATATTTGTACCCAAAGAGTCCACAGTAGTACCTCAATGGTGCATATTAGTGCCGAAATGTACCCAAAAAGTACCTTTGAGGTTCCATTATGGACCTTTCAGGTAAAAATATGTATCTTTTAAAAAGGTATTGCCCAAGTGACAGCCCCTATACCTTTATTTCTGAGAGTGTACTAAAACATACAAATATTAAAGCACATACAGTACATACTGGATTGCTATTTAATTTTATCTGACAGCCCCTGTACCTTTATTTCTGAGAGTGCATGTAATAAAAAAACACCAAAATAAGTGCATGTTAGAACACAAAAATGGTTTAATGTACGCGTTAAAATAAAAATTTAAATTAAATAATTAACTTTCATTAAGCAAACTTAAGTTGCAATACACTTTTTATAAGCCCTGTTTTTAAATGTACTTTTAAAATGAGATTTAAAATACATTACAATCACCATAAGATTAAGGGACATTTTGCATATTTTGGGATATTTCAGTATATTGTAATCCTAAAATACACCTAAAACGCTGTAGTAAAATTTCAAAATTCAATATGCTCAAAATAGTCCCTTTATTCTGTTGGAAGATGCTTTTAGTTTGTTGTTGTTTTTTAAACTTAAACCTATCTTTTTTTTGTTTTTGTTTAGACCAGCTTCACCTGTGAAGACCACAACAAGGTACAGTGGTTCTTAATTACAGATTTCCAACAAGCCTGAAATAATCAGACCATTCTCTATTAACCTCTTATTAATCTCAATGTTAGCATCAAAACCTACACCAAGGAGGATGTTACATCCCCTAAAACAACACCATATTCTGTGCGCTCCACAAAGAGGTGAGAGATCCTTAAAGAAAACTTCATGCTCAAGTCATTGCAAGACAAAGAGCCTCACTGAATGTTTCTCCACAGCTCTAAGGACTTTCTGTATGATACTCCTACTAAAACGTCAATCAGGTATGCGGTATCTAAATGACTCAGTCAACATTCTAAGAAACGGTATTATTTTTCATCACATTCTCAGCAGGCCACAGGATTGTGTAGTTCCGCCACTGAATATGTAAAGCATTTATTTAAAAAAAAAAAAAATGTATTTTTTTTCCCAAAGTGACTACAAGACTGAAGTGGTTACTGTAAACTCATCAAAGGACATTGTTGACATGTGAGTGTCATATATAATCTTTTTTTTTTTGCTGTTTCTGCACAGAATTTCATAAGAAAAAAATAAAATAAACTTCTTAACTAAGATCCTTAATAATATATGGTTTACAATGCAAATCCAATTAGAATCACTTGTAAATAAAGATACAGATCTCTCATATAATACATCCACTAAAAGGTTAAGAAAATATTATTTTACAAATGTAATTCCATGCAAATCAAATTTGAAATCTGAAATGAACATAAAAAATGCTATAAATATACACAGGTGAAGTTATTAGCCCCTTCCCCTCTAATTATTAACTAGGTTACTTAGGTTAACTAGGCAGTTTAGGGTAATTAGGCAAGTTATTGTATGGCTTGTTCTGATGGCTTGTTCTGTAGATTATCTGAAAAAAAAGCTTAAAAGGCTAATAATATTGACCTTAAAAAATGAGTTAAAATTAGTAACTGCTTTTATTCTGGCTGAAATAAAACAAATAAGACTTTCTCTAGAAGAAAAAATATTATCAGACATACTGTTAAGTTAATACATTTGCATAAGTAAATACATAGATTGAATTATGGGCTCAAAAATCTGTGGATTTATGTGGGCACAAATGATAACTTACATCAATAAAAATACATCAATAGACATAAAATAGCAAAATAAAGTCCTGTATAAAAACATAGACATTTGTTGGAAAATAAATAAATTGTATATGTAACTTTTATGAAAAAAGTGCACTTCTGCATACTGTACAGTACTTTCAAAAAGAGCTCTATTTATGGAAGTAATATTGTTAGTAATTATTATGAATTAATTAAGTATTGTTAAGTTGAAACTGAATGTAATGTTTTCAGACAGTTAATTATATTAAAGTTACAATTAATGAAAATGTATTAAATGAACTTTATAAGTATTGTTGTCCTGCTTAAGGAATTAATTACATATTTTTTTTAAATTTTGTCTTGTGTCTTTGAAATATGATCAAAGAAACTACTAAATGTACCAAAACCATTATTTTTAGTCATATTTAGTTTCTTGTTTGCAATTTAAATTTAAACTAGCTTGTTATTTACCTAACTACGTTTATATAATGATATATTTGAAAGATTTTAACAATTTAATTTTATTAAATACATTTCATACTAAATGTAAGTTTCCATAATATAATAAAGTAAATTATGTAATCAAATTATAATCAAGTTGACTTGTATGTAAGTAAAAACACATCGAATTAAAGATTATTAAAACAAATTTGTTGAATACATACTTTTATCTTTATAAAAAATGTTTAAAATGTTTAACTCTCTGTTCCTTGGAGGTAAAGTTCACCCTAAAATCTCAACTCAAGTGGTTCCAGACCTTTAAGAGTTTCCTTTTCTGTTTGAACAAATGAAGATATTTTGAAGAAAGCTAAAAACCTGTAACCATTTTCTATAGTAAGAAAGTCAAATATTATTTAACTCAATGGTTTTAGGTTTTCAACCTTTTTCAAAATATAATCTTTTAATCTTGTTCAAAAGAAGAAAGACATTTTTGGGTTAACTAATCTTTTAGGTTGGGATTAAATTTATTATTTATTATTATTAAATTTAGTATAATATATATATATATATATATATATATATATATTTTTTTTTTATTGAGTATAGTATTTTAGAATGTACATTTTGATTTGAGATTTAAAATACTGTTGAAATCACAATTACTAAACCCCCTTTTTCTTATTTAAATATTTAAAATGTTTAGCAGAGCTGAACATAATATTTTTTTCTTCTAGAGAAAGTTTCATTTGTTTTATTTTGGCTAGAATAAAAGTTTAATAACTCTGTGTTTAACTGTACATTACATGTCAACATTCCATTAAATGAATTTTTTCACAACAGTACTACTACTAATGTTTGCATATTTTTTAGATAGTTTTAAATATTTTAATCCTAAAATACATCTCTCACAATGTTTCAAATCCACCCTACCCTAAACTGTCTCAAAATTCTGTCACTGTTAAATTGGTTTACTGTTTTTTAAACCCAATACTTTCCTTCTTTATGTTTAGACCAACTTCCCCTGTCAAGACCACCACAAGGTACAGTAATTCTTGATTTCAGATTCATGACCACCTTCAATTACTCAGACTGCTCTTTTAAAGGGCAAAACTGAAAAATCATCGTCGGCTCACCTTTCACTTTTCACAAACCTGTTTGAGTTTCTTTCTTCTGTCAAACACAAAAGATGATAATATGAAGAAAGCTGAAAACCTTTAACCTTTGAATTCTATAGCATTTATTTTTTCCAACTATGGAATTCAATCATAACCAGTTTTCAGCTTGATTGATTGGTAGAATACTGATCTGACGTTTGTGTGTATGTGTGTGTGTGTGTGTGTGTGTGTGTGTGTATATATGGTTCTTGAATCTGATTGGGTGATAGCCGTGTGATATTCTGCCAGTAACAGCACTTGTCCAGCCTCTGCAACCTTCACCCTTGTGTATTACTCCCCCCACATACAGCAACAAGCAGAGGACACTCTACAGTTTGCCAAATATTGCTGCTGTTGGGCAACATAATGTACTTTTAAGGATTTTTTTTTGTTGTTGAGAATGTAGTTGTTTAAATTGCAACTATGCAGATTATTCATAAGGATAGTGCCTATTTTCAATTATTCATAATATTTGAGAGACAGCGCGTCAGCGGCCATTAGCCTGTCTTTGAAGACAGTCCTTGCTTCAGCCCGCAGCCTAATGACGTAGTTGACAATGGATTACACCTCCACAACCCTGAACCCAACCGTCACAGTAGCATGGCCGCTACTTTAGTGGGCGGTACAAGGTCTGCTATGTAGTTGATGATTACCTACACCTCCCCCTACCCTAAACCCAACCGTCACAGTAGCATTGGAGCTACCTTAGTGGGCAGTACAAGGTCCGCTACGTAGTTGACGATCGACTATGTCATCAAGCTGCGGGCTGCAGCAAGGACATCTTGTGTCTTTGAGCAACGACGGTTAACAAAGTTCATCGATAAGCCCTAAGAGAATAACTGTGTAATTTCAAACTACAGCTGATCAAATCATTAATAAACAGATAAATGACTTTCTAAGTCGATCTCTCTCTTATGTATGCTGTAGTGCTATATTTATACCATAGTAATATTATGATCTCCCGATTGCAGCAGAGAAATACTGGGGAATCTCTGTGCAATGAGATGGCATTTCATTCTGTTCAGCCTTATAATCTTAAAATGTGAGCAAAATCACCTGTTTTGTCATCACTTTAGACATTACGCTAAAGAGTCATTCAAATACTATATATATATATATATATATATATATATATATATATATATATATATATATATATATGAGCAATATCACACAAGTAGCACAACACATAATAGCACTATAATTGAAATAGGTTTAACTGTATTGTTGTGTATTGTCCTTGTACAAATAAACTAAACTAAGAGCTTTCTTCAAAATATCTTCTTTTGAATCAATAGAGGAAGTGTAAATCGTGACAACATTTTCATTTTTGGGTGAACTATTCCTTTAACATCTTATTAATTCCAGCTATAGCATCAAAAGCTACACTAAGGAGGATGTTTCGCCAACTAAAACAACATCGGATTCCATCCGATCCACAAAGAGGTGACGTAAAATTCCAACTACACTCCCTAAAATATTTTCAGTCACTGTAAAACAAAGAGCATCACTAAATGTCTCTCCACAGCTCGGAGGATCTTCTGTACGATACTCTCATACCGCTGTCAATCAAATCAACTAACAGCAAACCTGACAGCAGGTATGTTGCATTTGCACATTTATAAGGTGTGAACCCCTTTTGTGATGAGTTTGACATTTGCTTTGGCTTTTAAGTAGTTTAACCAGTCTTACGGCTGACTGGCTTAAAGCAGGCATACAGTTGTATTTAAGCTCTTTCATGACTTTTCATTAGAGCTTCCCTCTCAGCACAGCAGTGTTTGTAATATGGATTTTTATGGTTCTTACAGTCGTGAGGATTTGTCATCCTCCAAAACTGTCAGAACCGTGTACTCAACAATTGACAGGTAGGAAAATGTTTATTATTCAAGCTTCTTTTGCTAAAAAGTAATTTATTGTACTCTTATATATCTTTTTTTGAATAAATAGAAATGAGTGGAGTACAGACTTAAGTCCTTCTTACACCAGAACGTCATACACAGAAAGCAGGTTATGATGCATTTTTGGCATTTAAAAACATCACACACCGCATTTAAACAATGTTGATTAAATGAGACCAGGTTTGTTGATTTGGGATTGTTTTTTATCCCCACACAGGCCTTTTGAATACATGTCGGATTCTCTCACATCAAAAACTACTACGACTGTATACTCATCACCGGAAAGGTATGGAGGCGGAAATAGTTTTCATTTAATTAAGTTATGCGTATAGTGCACATTTGAAATGCATGTTGTTTTGTTGCAGGAAAGTAAATGCGAAGGACATCTGCACATATTGCAATCAAAGCATGTACACAGATGAAAAGTTTATCTTGGATGACATGAACATAAACTGTCATGCAAGATGTTTCAAGGTTAGTTATTATTATTATTATTATTATTATTATTATTATTATTATTAATGAAAATATACATAATTTATTATCAATCACATAGGGTTCATTAGAAGTTTGAAGGCTTTGTTTTCCATCTTAATTTTATTTTGAAAGTTTTCTTTTGTGGTTTTCTGAAATTTTATTTTTAAAAAATATCGTCAAAAATGTTTTGAGTTTCAAATATGTTATAAACTATAATGGTTTTCATAAATATTTTTAATATATATTTGTATTTTCTAACAAAATATTGGTAATTATTATTATTATTATTATTATTATTATTATTAATGATGATGAATATTTAAATATTTGTTGTCCAAAATATTTTACCATCTCTAACATAGGTTTCATTAGAAGTTTGAAGGCTTTTATTTCCTTTGTTTGTTTTCTTTTGTTAAAAATATTGTTTATGTTTTGTTGTTTTTTATTTGTTTATTTATTTTTTATTTAATTACAGAATGTTAATTTCAAAATATGGTTTTAGTGTTATGTTGATAAATATGTATAAATGAGTTTTAAATAAGTTACTTATAAACTATAATTGTTTAAAATATATATTTAAATGTTTATTTGTGTTTTCTAACTAGTCGTATTTATTGTTATTATTTTTAATATTATTGTTATTATTATTATTGGTATTATTATTATTATTATTATTATTATTATTATTAGTCCCAGTACTGGGAAAACATATGCAGGATATGTTGGCGGTTCATTCCACTGTGGTGAAAAAGGGACTAAACCTATGGAAAAGGAATGAATTATTATTATTATTATTATTATTATTATTATTATTATTATTATTATTATAATTAATGAGTATATAATTATGTGTTGTCAAAAATATTTTAGCATCAATGACAGGATTCAAAAGAGGTTTGAAGGCGTTTTTTTTTTTTTTTTTGCTTTTTATTTTCATTTGAAAGTTTTGTTTTGGGGTTTTCATCATTTTAGTTATTTGTTACGTTTTAACATTTCATTTATTCATTTCTTTGTTTATTTTTTCCAATCTAAAATCTCAAACAATGTATGTATATCATTTTATTTGCTCTAACTTTAATGCTATTTTCAACTGACATGGTTTTAGTTTCATGTACAAAGTATATATATATAAGTTTATAATTTATAAGTTATAATAAGTTATAAGATAAGCTTTCAACTATAATGATTTTCATAAATATTTGTTATGAATATTTGTATTTTCTGATAAAATATTTGTATATTTATTATTATTATTATTACTTAACTAATTATACATTTTGCCAAATTACAAAATTGAATTTAGGTATTCACTGTTTATGAAAACATTATGAATAAAATAGGAATAATAATAAAAAAAACATTTAAATGTTTTAGTTTAGTTTTAACATTAAATTATGTGTTAAATATTTCAGAATCAGTTGATATGTATGAATGATTTTTTGTTTGTTTTTGTTTTGTTTTTGGTTCTTTAGCTGAATGTTTGTTTTATTTTTCATCATTTTAATAGTTTATATAAAATTGTTTATTTAGTTTTAACCTTCAGGATTAATATAAACTGAAAGATATATATCTTATATGTATATCTTTTTCAGTTTATTATAATCCCGAAGGTTAATCTAAAGTATTACATGTATATCATTTTATTTTCTTTAATGTTACTTTTAAGTAAAACTTTTTCTTCTTCTTTTTTTTAACGTTTTATCTATAATAAATATTTCATAAATATTTTATTAATATTTCTTTTTTTTTGTATGTATGTATGTATATAATATGTATAATATAAACATACTCATGTATGATCTTTATTGTTAGTGTGGGGTGTGCAATACTTCACTGGGAAACCTGAGGGCTGGGGACAGCCTGTGGGTTTACCAGTGTGCGATTCACTGTGCAAGCTGCTTTGGTGTCACTAAGAGTAAGAAAACTCTATACAACTACATTTTTCAGTATTCTGAAACAAATAGTCAGTATGCTTGGCTAATAAACCAAAATGTATTTTAAACAAAAGCATATGTTTTTGTTTTACAGACAAATGGATGCGCTGAAACAGTTCCCACTGAAGAAGTGAGCTAATGAAGGAGATGATGGCAAATGTGATAAAACTGCCTATACACTGATTAGACATGGACACGGGTCATTCGATTTATGGTGGTGGACTTCTATCAGATAGAGTTTGGGGTTTATTCATTGTATTAATAGATATTTATATACTTATACAATTACCAATACTAATAGGACTATTTTAAAGGAAAAATAACATTATTTTCATATATTTTATGACTGTATTAAATGCAGAAACACATTTGTTTACATCTGAATGATTTTTATCAGTCAGATCTGGTTAAGCATCATTCCAGTTAGCCTGTCTCTACTGTGCAATTTGCATGTGCTTGTGCTTGATGTATTTAAGGAAGTATTTCTATTAAAGAGAACTGAACATGCTCTGATCAAGGCATCTTATGTCTTATGACAAGATTCCTATGGGGATACAAATAAAGAGCTAAAGTTAGCTTGAAGCTGAGAGACTTTGCTTATATAATAGGGTTTTGGACCTAAAAATATGATTTCAACTATATGACAACTACTAGAACAACAAACCCTTGATACTCAAATACACTTCATTGAATATGGATCATACACTTAGACCTCACCCTTTTTGAACGGACACTCTATACTGTATAACTGCAGGTTAACTGTTTACAGTTTTTCTCAGTGGCTTTGGTGCATTTCTCACAACACTATTTACATTTGCACAACAGGTCATGCATTTCTCAAAACAATTAGTCATTTGTGCACATCATAGTAGCAGTTTCTCATTCCTTTCAACAAATTTCAAATGCTTTTGGACATACATCAACTGCTTTCATTCAACTCTCTGCTGTTTATAACATTATCATTTGCTTATCTCATGTCAGTCAAAATGAACTCAACTTGCAAATGCTAAATAGTCATTCCATATAAAACTAACAGTGCTCATTTCATTACTTGAGTCATTACATACAAAAATGTTGAACTTGATGTCAAAATCGGTTAAGAAAACTTTATAATTTTTTTTAACTTTATTTTCCTGAAAATGTCTTTAAAATTGAACAATTTGATGAATGATTTACAGACCTGTGTATGTTGCAGGTTCAGGTCCAATATGTACTGAAATATTGTTTACAGCTGTGCACAGTTCAACCCAAAGGGAGTTTATGTTTGTTGTAAATAAGGGTGTGTTTTTTCTTTTGCACAATGCTGTGAATAAATTAGGATTGTAAAGAGCAAATGCAGAGTAAAAATGTGAAACATACATATTCAGTGTCTTGTACTCAGATACCTTACTAAATGCAGTGATGTCCAACTTTACTGTAGTTTTCAAATGACTGTGCAAATAGTATACAGTGCTGTCTTGAGAATTTTCAGGAAGTGTCACCAAAATCTGACTTTTTTGCATTGAAAAAATGTCCAGAATAAACTCATAATAAAAACATGACTAAGCCATTTGACTATTTTGTTCATAAACAGTCATTTTGTTCATAAACATTCATTTTGATGGCACTGACACTTTGATAGACATGAATACTTGCTTTTGAGGAATGAACAATCTATTTTGAGCATGTGACACGCTTTTGCAGGTTATCAGCTAGGTTTTGCAGTTTGTACTAATTGTTTTGAGGAATGCATTAACTGTTGTGCAGAAATGCACTGGTGTTGTGAGAAACGCACCAAAGAGACTGAGAAAAACTGTATATACTGTCCACCCTATACACAACTCCTTACCTTTTTTGATTTTGACTATTATAATGATGTGCACCTTTTGTGAAGCTGCTTTGAAATGATCATTATTGTAATGATGCTATAAAAGTAAACTTGAATTGAATTGAATTAAATATGGCCAATGAACAGGTTTTTGAAAATGTATAAATATGATTTTTTATATTAAACATCTATCTATCTATCTATCTATCTATCTATCTATCTATCTATCTATCTATCTATCTATCTATCTATCTATCTATCTATCTATCTATCTATCCAAAACAAATGATAATATGTTTCGAAATGTAGACCACAAAACGTACAGCATGTATCACTTTTAAAATTAAACCTGCTTGCAAGAAAGTAATTACTGGGAAATATTTATAAATATGTTTGAAAGAAATTTATTTTACTTTATTTGTTTTTACAGTTTTTCTTGTTTGCTTTGACCTGGTTAAAGAAACTAGGTTCCTCTTCATTTTCATTATCACTATCCCAGCAGAGCAGAAGACCGGTCTTGCAAATGTGTAAACGCTTTCTCATTGGGTTGACACATTTTCCCCACTATTTTTCAAAACAGTTAACACTGATGTCATTCAAGCAGTCCAAACTCCATTGTTTTAGTTATGGTAACCAAACAGAAACCATCTATTCCTAACTATTAAAAGCTACCAACATCAGTCTGAAATCACTGAGGCACCGGTTTGACACTTCTTCACACAAATCTTCAATTAGCAGTCAGTCTGTAAATCTTATAAAAACGATGGAAGGTCTGTGTTGTTCTGTGCCAGCATTGATGGAGGAGGTCAGTATGGCTATGTCCTATACTCCCAATAGATTTGACTGTATATTGGTTTACATGTGTTTTCTCTAATATTTACAGTATTTTATTACTTTTGTCTGGTTTTTTTTTAATACAGTATTTCAGTTTTCAGTCACAGGTTGAAAAATTTTATGAATAATTCAATATATATTTAATCAAAGCATATCTTATTCTGGATCCAATTCTTTGCAAAAAAGGTAAATTTGACAGCCCAAATAGAAAGACAACAAATGCTAGTGGCAATAAGCTACAGTGGCAAGCAATGGTGGTGCACTGAGTTCTGTATTTTGTTCTCCATTGTGTAAAGATTAATTCAAAGAGCTCATATACTTGTTTGCAAGTTGTGTTGTTTGAAGGTAAAACTAGCTTTTGTTTCATATTTTAAATGTTTTGACACGATATGTGCCTTTTGTAAGCAAAATGTGTCATTTTGACCATGAGTGCCGCTGTTTAGGGCTGTGTGTTAACTGTTTTGAAAATGTGGAGTTTCAGTTGACGGCTGCATCAAAGCAATCAAGAAAAACTATAAGTATTTATGAAGTAATTTCCAAATTTTGGGCCATAACAAATCATTAACATAGCTATTCCACACTGTAAAAAATTTCCAGGTTTTCACAACAAGTTACTGTAATTTTTCACAGTAAATTACATTAGTATCCCTTCACAGTATTTAACTGAAAAATTCACAGTAATATGTTGTATTCATAATTTTATTGTGAAATTACGGCAGGTAGCATGATTACAGCAAATTACTGTGAAAAGGGCTATATCTTTTGCACGTTAGTTATAGAAATTCAAACCTTTTTTAAACTCAACGTAGAAATTAATACAAATGAACTTTTAACAGATAATACAGAATGTTATAGCCCCCAAAACGATTTGGTTACCAACATCTTTTTTAATTGTACTGCACCTTTATTTAATTTTATACAGTTAACATAAAAATAGGAAATAATATTTAATGAACATAACTGTGTGCTTAGCCAAAACATAATAAACTGGAATAAAAAGTAATTAATTAATGAAACCAAAGACTGTTAAACAGCCAACAATTATTTCAATGTCAGGGTAAATGTCTGCTTTAGACGGTTTCATGAGTATTGGGCACCTGTCATCGCCTGGAGGTCACTAATCTCAGAATTAAATATATATATAAATTATTATTTTTTTATCTATATAAATAAACCACAGATTAGAGTTTTAAACAACTACATTCTAGCATGAAAAACAGTTAAAACTTCATTTTCGGACGCATATAGAGCCATCGAAGACGGGGCAATTGTCCCAATGTCTAGCCTGAAGACAGGCGCCTCTCGGCGGATACATGAGTAAAGAGCGCCGTTACCGCCTGGAGGTCATAGATCTCCGCTACCGGCAAAACACACTTAAAATTACACACAATCTTTACTAACAGTCCACAGATTTGAGTTTTGAAGAACTACATTCTCGCATGAAAAAGTGTTAAAACTTTATTTCATTACATATTACAAGCATTATTTATAATATTATGTGCCTTCTCATCCACCATTACAGCTTGATGCAGCTTGGTGCAAAATAAATCCTGGGAGGAAAAAATAATAATTCTCAATACACTCCAAACGAACTTTATTCTTATTGTTGAAGTCAGAGATATGTAATATTTTGAATGGCGAAGAAAATAATTAACTTTATAATTCAATCAATATATTACTCTTAATATATTACTGCTTCGGTTCAGGACTCGTGTGACATTGAATCAGATTCAGATATTTTATCAGACGTGTTCATGAGCTCGAAGTGATCAACAAGCAATTCGTGTACAAGCAGTACACGAACCAAGCAATATGATGAAATATTAATGAATTATATGTTTGCGTCTTACAATATTATACAAAACGGAATCGTTTTCAGGCGAATTCGACTCTTTACTGTTCACTTAAAGGAGCCGAATTCGACTCTTTACTGTTCACTTAAAGGAGCCGATTCATTGAACAGAACTGACTCGACTCGACCGCAAACAAGCGCCATCACCACAGACAACGCCGTCGTCTCTTCACCCAACGGATTCATCCTCGGTAAGTGTTAAAATATGACTTTTGTCCGTTAAATGATTGTTGTATGTGTATTTCTGTATAGTGCATGTCATTTAACAGGAATTTACCGAGTACTTTAGTTGTACTCGCACGGACAGGGTTTAAGCGCGCCTTTTTTTAAAGCAAGAAATTAACGACACCAGATGGTGATTGTAGTGTTTTCTGAGGTATTAGCATAACGTTAACGTTAGTTCCTGAAAAAAGAAAGGGAATTTTCTTTAATTAACTTCTTGTTAACTGCATTTTCTGTTTCAGTACAAGACTGAAGTAAAGGTGAAATGACTAACTGTTATAACGTTAAGGTAAGCTCTGGCCTTCACTTAAGTTAACGTTACGGTTAGTGACCATCATGTATGTTAATTTTGTTCAATGTAACGTTAACGTTAAGTTAGTTAAATAAACTAAACTCATTATGAAACAAGTCTTAACTGTTTTATTAAATGAGGCTTATAATACAATTCAGTTGTATTCTTTTAAACTAACACTAACACAGTACATATTGTATATTTCTCACTGGTGTTAATGCATTGCTAACATTTACTAATGAGAACTAATTGTATATTGTCACTAACTGTAGATTTTATTTTTTGGTGTTCAGGTGTACCTGATAATAGCTGAAGTGTGAGGTGAGTGTAAATTCTGAGCACACAAATATAACCTAAATTCATTATCACAATCTAAACCTATATATATATATATATATATATATATAATATATATATATATATATATATATATATATATATATATATATATATATATATATATATCAGGGCTCGAAATTAACCTTTTTGCTTGGTAGCACCGGTGC